ACCTGAGGCAGGACTTTATTGGGGATGGAGCTGCCGGGCTGCCTCGAACAATGGTGAGAGAGGGTGAGACTAACTGGGGTGAGGTTTATATAGGGCGGTGCAGCGGGGAGAGTAACCTGATAGTTGAGCAGTTTGGACCCCTGGTGCTTGGAAGGGGAGGATCATGTGGGTAGCAGGGCGGAGCAACAAGTTAGGTTTTGCTTCTCCAGAGCGGGTAGGTTTCACCCCTCCCCCGCAAGTGGCTCATTTCCATAAGCGGCTCATTTCCATAAGCGGGAACCGTTTTAGGATCGGGAGCCATTTTAGAAGGTGGGACTGTTGAGGTCATTTTGTCTGGTAGAGAACTCTAACAAAAATGTGTTTTTTAAATAAAATGGAGTACTACTCACCCACAAAGAATGAGAAATTAGAGACATTTATAGCTAAATGGATGCACATTGAGGACATACTCTTAAGTGAAATAAACAGGACACACATGTATAAATACCGAAGTTTCTCTAGTGTAAGAAACTGAAAGTGTAAATAAGGATTAAAATGAATAATGGATAATGTGAAATAGGAAGAAAAGGTCTAAAAGGGTAGGGGAAGTGGGAGGGGTAGGGGAAAGGAAAAAATATGAGATAAATAAATGGAGCCTGGGATTTAGCTCAGTCTGCCGCCTGACTTGCAAGCGCAAGGACCCGAGTTTAATCCCCGGTACCAAAAAAACCCAAAGAAATAAATGGAAACAAAGCGTTTGCAAATAGGGAGGGGTGGAGGGGGTGAAGGGAGGGCAGGGGAATGGGAAAAAAATAAGAACCAAGATACATCATGTACAGGTCCAAGTTCCCAATGATGAATGTAAATGTATTCTATACCTAAAATGTACCAATAAAAGAAAAAGAAAATACAGCCAAGTGGGAGGCAACTGGAGAAGTTCAGAGAGTCACAAGGCAGGGGATGGGGTTCACAGGTTCACTGGGGCTTAGTGTCATTCAACAGACTGCCATAGGTGATACATGCCTGTAATCGCAGTGATATAGGGGGAAGAGACGTAACTCCCAAACTTACTACATATCTGAAACTGGAGTTCGTGTTCTCTGAAATCGAAGAATGAATTCTAGGAATAACGGAGGTTAAGAGCAGGAAAATTTATTGAGAGAAAGATAGCTTCTTCCTAAGAGAGACAGAAGGTGGACTGGAAAGTGGGCTCCCCGCCCACCCCACTTTTCAAAGTTGTTTTATACAGCAAACCCATGAGATGAGGCGGGTGCAAAGTGGCACAAAACTATTAAGACCCAATGGAAATTTACAAGGGGGGCATGAGGTGGGACAAAACCATGACCAGCCAATAAGATTACAAGTCCGGTCACCCAGGTAATACTGATTAAATGGGGATCAAATGGGAAAACAAGTCGCATACAAGGAATTTCCCATTTAGAGTATCAATCACTGCTATCCATCTCCAAGGGAAGTAGTGCCTCTTCTTTTTATAATGCTAACCAGCGAATGTGCCTCAATTGTTCTCCATGTTGGCTCCTCACTGTGTTGGCTCCTAGAGGGCTGGCACCTTGAGGACTGGGGCCTTTAGGGAGGGCCCCTGTCTAACTGCCTAAAAGATTCTAATTAACTTACCTATCTACAATACCAGCACTCTCGGAGGCTGAGGCAGGAGGAATGCAAATTCAAGCCCACCACGGGGAACAAAAACCTGTTTCAGAATAAATAACCACAAAACTCCCACAACAATAACAAAAGGCAGCAAAACCTTAGATCTGTACTGCACATGTACAGACTTTTCCTTGTCATTATTCCTTAACACAGTACTGTATAACATTTGCACAGCATTTACATTGTATTAGATTATTATGTGTAGTCTCCAGGGGTTTTCCCCTTAGTATTAGGGACTGAACCCAGGGGTGCTGAACTACTATGTGACATACCCATCCTTTTTAATTTTTTATTTTGGGGGAAGTTAATTTCTTACTCCTTGCAAAATTATTTAGGCTGGCCTTAAGCTTGCAATCCTCCCACCTTAGTTCCTGAATAGCTGGGATTACAGGCATGTGCCACTGTGGCTGGCCATAGACATAATTTAAAGGGTATATGTACGTTATATGCAAGTACTACACCATTTTCTGTAAGGGATTGAGCATCCAAGGGTTTTGGTTATCTGCTGGGGGTCCTGGAATGAATTCCCTGTAGATAGCAAGGGACACAGAGGGAGGATGATATTAGCCACTTATTGGAGGCTCCTGTGGGGCAAACCCTGGGTTAGGCACAGGACCTAGGGAGTGGAGGAAGGGATAATACCTCATCTCAGATCCCCTGGGCTGGAGTATACCAGCAACCAGCTGGCCCGACCAAAAGAGGACCCATCTGGGCCCTCAAACAAGCCCCCAGGCACTAATTAGGCCTGTGGATCCAATGGTCAGGGGTGCTGCCGTGTGGGGCTCCCCTGGGCCCAGGCCCTGAACTCTGGCATCAGCAGGGGTGGCTTTCTCCACCCTTTGTGGTCTTATAATCACTTTCGGAGAAGTGACTACCCAAAACCAGAAAGAAAAACTCATTCTCATACACCAAAAACAAAGGAAAAATCTTGTTTTGTTTGTTTGCAGTGCTGTGGATCCAACCCAGGGCTTCATGCATGCTACCAAGTGCTCTACCACTGAGCCATGCCCCCAGCCAGGAAAAGGAATCTTACCTGTTATGGACTGAACTGTCTCATCCTGCCCAACTAAGCGGAAGCCCTAACTACAGTAGATGTGACTATGGGGGGGGGGGTGTAATTAAGATGAAATGAGGCCATAAAGCTGAGCCTTAACCCAATAACACTAGGCAAATAGACAGCTAACACCAGAGACCTCTCTGTCTGAGGGGACACAGAGGGCAGGTTGTGACTTGTAGGCAGAGGGTAGAGGCTTCACTGACCCAGCCCTGTGGGGACTTTGATCTGAAACCTGCAGCCCCCAGAACCTTGAGGAAACACACATGTGTGGTGGAAGCCTCCTGGTCGGTGGTGCTCTGCCAGGGCAGTCCAGCAGCACTCATCCCCAAGGCCACAGCTTTGCTGCTCACCACCCAGCTCTGAACCTCAGGCTGGGCCTGGACTCTCCCTGGCTAAACCCTTCAGCTGTTCTGCTACTGTTTTCCGCTGTTGGCTGTTAGCTCCTCCCAGGTCTGGGCCCTACTGCCTGATGTCCCCTCTCCAGGTTCTACCCTCCCCACTTCTCCGGCCCCAGCCTCCCTCACCTGGCTGTCTGACTCCTCCAGGTTTCCAGGGAAGCCTCCCTGACTCCATGACTCATCCTGGTGCCCTTCTTAAGCACCAGGAGCCTCACTTTGGGCTACACACTGATGTCACCCAGGGGGCTTTACAATGCTCCCCCTCAACCCAATCAGAATCATGGGGTGGGTTGTATTTGTGGGTTTTAAAATATGCAGGTGATTCAAATGTGCAGCCGGAGTGTAAGAACCTCATCTGAACATCCTGAGAGATATCCTGAGAGGTCCCGGTGCGGTCAGGGTGGGGAGTGGGTCTGTTTTGCTCACTAGTGGGCCCAGCACCCCCTCCTCACCGGGCACCGTTAGGCACTGGCGAAACATGTGCTTGATGTTTCACCCCCCTAACCCCAGCATCCTGCAGAGGCTGAGCTCTCTCCAGTGGTTGCCCCTTTAGATTCTACAGCCCCCTTGGGCTCTGCTGAAAGCCCCCTTCCGCAGGGAAGCTGTCCCTGAGCCCTGACCAGGCTACATCCCCTTGGCCCCAGCTCCCAAAGCCCCCCTGACCTTCCCTCTCAGTGCTATCTGTTGCCCTGGGAATGGGTTCTCTCTCCTCTCTCCTGTGAATTTTGGGACTCCCAGAGGCCTTGCCTGTGCCAACCTCAGTGCCTGGAACAAGTGGTGCTCAGTGGATTGGTGTTGGTTGGTTGAATGGCTTCTACACCCAGATATCTTTACCCACCCAGGAGACTTTGGCCTGGGCCCAGCAGATGCCCCCAAAGGCTCTCTACCCTAGGGCCTGTGATTGGTGGGATCTGACAATCAAACTCCTTTGCAGTGCCGGGGGCTCCGGGGGGTGCCGGATGACATCTTTTGTAACAGTAAGGACTGCTGGACGCAGGTGAGTGGGGAGGGCACCTGGGGGAGGGAGGAACCTGTACACTTTCTCTCACTTCTCTCCAGAAGCCAGTCCAACGTCCTCCTCCAGTAGGTGTTGTGAGTCATGTCCCCCCAAAAGACACATTGAAGTCCTCATATGGGACCTGTGAATGGGACCTTATTTGGAAACAGGGCCTCTGCAGATGTCATCAAATTAAGATGAGGCTAACAATTATCTGAAACTCAATTCAAATTAATTGGGCTGTCCTGTATTTTTAGTGGACAAATGTGGAGACCCTAGCTGGGAAGGACAGAATACAGGTTGAGAACCCACAGTTCCCAGTGTTTGATGATGGCTCCCCCGGGCCTAGAAGGTGGTGGAAACTCAAGAGTGGGGACCTGTGGTGGAGGTCCTGTTACGAGATGGAGCATCTGGGCCAAGATCCTGGGCTTGTGAAGCCATTTGGGTACATGGAGTCCTAGAATAGGAAGGGGCAGACGAGGAGAGGGTAGAATGGGTGGCCCAAACCAGGGTCACCTTGGGACTCGAGGGCATGGCAGAGCCCAACACTGGCAGGTCTGAAACAAGGCTCAAGTGGAGGGTGCGGGCCTATGACCCAGGGGAGTCACGGAGGCTGTTGGGTAGGAAGCACAGCCCTGGGGCCCCACCAGACAGACCATGGGAAGCCCTTCCTGGGAAACACAGTTAGCAAGGACAAACTTTTCAAACATCAAGGGCCCCAGGCTGGAATGGGGACCTTGCAGGGCTTCTCAGATTCACATCTCCTCCCCTTGGGAACAGCAGGCATCACACTGGCGGGGCCTGCTCCTGGTGAGGGAGAAGTCACTGTGAACCCGGAACCAGGTGCCAGGCTTTGCCTCTTCCCCATCCTCCCTCAACCACAGAAACTCACAGCAAGTCAGGCAAGAAAAGCCAACAGTTTATTTACACCTTGGTCTGTACATTACAGTTCCCTGGAAGGTGCCTGCCGTGGAGAGCCTGCTCCCTTCTGGAAGGAAGCAGGCTTCAGGCGAAGAGCTCAGGACCTGGGACTCCACCTTGGGGCCTCAGCCCACACTCCCTCCCCTGGACCTGAACATGGAGGTCCTCCTCTGGCCCCAGAGCTCTTTCCAGACATAGGTTCCTGGGGCAAAAACCAAGCTGAATCCCACAGAGAGTCAAAAGCCATCTAACCAACCCTTGGGCACTAGGCCATGGGGGCAGTTTTTCCGCCTGGGCCCCGGAGACCCTGCCCGGAGTGGGAGGGGCTGAGGCCTCACTCGAGTATTGTCCCATCAAGGTCCTGACAGTCTGGGATTATTAATGGCACTCTGGTCTGAGCACCTTCAGCAGACAGGGGCTGGGCAGGTATTAAGAGCAGGCAGGGAGGGCAGCAGTCTCTTCCTTCAGCCCTACTGGGGTCCACAGCTGTTCCATACACCAGAGGCAGTGGAGTTTTGCTAAGCATGGGGAACCACACAGCCAGGGCTTCCTCTGGGGCAGAGTGGGTACCGGAGCTGCTGCAGCTCTGCAACATCCCTGCCCGGGCCGATGCCCCAGGTTAAAAGTGCACTCTGCCGCCTATAAATATTCACATCAACACAGGAAGAGGTTTGTGGGAGAAGCTGCTTTACACAAAGTTACCCTTTTCTGGGAAGCAAGGCTTCTAAACTACCTGCAGGCTCGATGAGGGACTAAGCACCCCCAGACCTAAGACAATGAACAATTCTGTACAAAGTGACGGTGTCTACAAGACTGCGCAAGCCAAGGGGAAGCGGGCCTGATCCTCCCTCAGGAGATGTGCCTGCGAGCAAGGCCTTACAAGGTGGGGGCACGGGGCCACAAAGAAGATGAGTGCTACACATTTCCGGGGCAGGGGAGGGAAGGAGAGGAGAGGGGACGTAGAAAACAGGGCAGAGGGTAACGTGGAGAATCCTGTACAGTGGTGACAGGGAAGAAGGCACACGGACAGGGACCCCAAACCATGCAGACAAAAATCACAGCCTGTGCAGCACAGCAAAGCAGATGGTCCCAGCAGGAGACAGGGTCACCCCTAGGACATCAGCACTTAGACCTGTAGGAGGGGTGGCCTGGGATGCCATCCCTAGCTGGGTCTGACACCCCAGCATTACGGTCACAATGGAGAGGAGCCTACAAGGTTGGGGCAGTGAGGTCACATGGGAAACCTAGTACCCAGGAAGGACAGTGGCATTACCCTCCACCAGGGTCACAGGGCGAGAAACAAACTCTCCTCCAACGCAGTTGTTTTCTCAGGTGGTCAGTGAGAGGACGGCAGGAGGGCCTCGGGGTTGTCCTGCCAGGCAGGGAGGGCAAGCCCATGGTTTCAGTCCCTACTGCCTCGCACCGGCTGCTTCTGTCACCAGTGCATGCTTAGCAGGATGTCAGGACCAGGAGGTCCCTGAGATCAGTGCTCCAAGGGAAGGGCATGGCACGTCTAACTTGAGGACCTCTGTGGGACACACGTCAGTCTTACTAGTCTTAAGTGCCATGTTAGAGGGGAGACCGTGGGTCCCAAGGGGAGCCTGGGAGTGAAGACTGTGGAGGAGGCCAGCACCAAAGTCCTAAATGGCCCCTCTTCAACCCAGACTCCACCTCGGCCCTCTGCAGGGTTGCTGGGGACCTGCCAGGCACTCATTTTCTTCACAGGAGGGCCACCCCAAACTCTGGCCTATTCCAGTCACATCTACAGTTAGGGTTAAAACTGCCAATGTCTCACACTCACAGCACAAAAAGAGGACTGGATTTCTCTCTACTCCACCAGGCCTTGCTGGAGGCTTTGGCTGTCAGGAAATAGGCAGAATCCACAAAGCCAGTGTCCCCTCCTGCTCTGTGGTATAAGCAGGTGGCTGCTGTGGCCAAGGCTGCTTTCAGGGGGACGGCGCGCAGCTGACTGTTGTATTCCCACTGTGGAATGAGTCCTGGTCAGTACGTCACGACACGTGTCACTTAGGACTCCAGGGGTACCAGGCAGAGACCCTGCCACCCACTCAGGCTTGCTAGCCTCCTGGCTCTGAGAACAGCAAGAGCCACCAGTCCTGAAGGCACCTGGCCTCCCATCCTGAGGCAAGGACCATTCAACAGCATCAGCACCAGAAAAAGCCACCATGGACTGTCCCAGCAGAGGGTCCACTCTCTAGCCTAGGTTCAACAAGCCCCATTTCCTCTCCCTTTGGGCAACAACCTTCTAGAACAAAGGGGTCTCCCCTTGAGCCACACCTCAGCATCACTGGGGAAGTATGTACAAATTCAGTTGAATCCGAGCCACAGGGTGGGGTGGGGCTGCCCAGTCATCAGAGCTTTCAGAATTCCCAGGAGACTCCAGGGCACAGCCAAAGCTGCAAACCTCTCTTCCAGGACACAGTGCTCAGGAGGTTCTTGAGCTCTGTCTTTGAAGTATGTCAGAAATGCAATCAGGAAAAAAGAATCTCTTTGACAATTCTCAAGTAAATCTACCAGTTTAACATAAATGGCCACTGCAAAGTTTAAAAAAACTGCTAATTTTGTTTGGTTTCCAACTCAATACAAGGACAGCTTAGTGTCAGGTAAAATGTATGTCTTTTTTTGGGGGGGAGGGTACCGGACATTGAACTCGGGTCCCTGCACTTGCACAGCAGGCAGCAAAACCATTGAGCTAAATCCTCAGCCCTCCAGCTTTTTTTTTTCTTTTGTACCGGGGATTGAACTCAGGACCTTGTGCTTTCGAGGCCGGCATCGGAACCACTGAGCTAAATCCCCGGCCCACCAGCTCTATTTTTTGAGATAAGGTCTTGTTGTATTGCCCAAGTTGGCCTCAAACTTGCAATCCTCCTGCCTCAGCCTCCTCAGTAGCTGGAATTACAGATGTGTGCTACTTCACTTGACTCAAAAGGTACCTCTTCTACAAAACCCCCCACTTCTCTCAACCGAGAAAAAAACCACCTGTAACTTCAGGCAAAGTTCTGCTAATTCCTATTTGTTGGGATTGCCAGGTTTGACAAAAACAAATGAAAATAAACAGAAAATCTCACCCACCCCCTAGATACAACGCCCAGTTAAATTAGAGTCAGCTGGAATACCTGTAAAATATTTCAAGACCTGAGCCACACCTACAGTAATTAAACCAGAACATCTGGTAATTCAAATTTTTAAAAGCTTATTTTCAGTATGTCCCAAGGGTGGCATGGATCATGCATATTCTAAAAGTTAAAAATTATTTGTTGTTCAAATTTGTCCTATCAAGCACAGCTCTGGAGCCTGCCCCAGGGGCTGGGGAACTAAGACCCCCTCAGGTTAACTTTCAAGTCCAGAAGTGCACTTCAAAAACATACATGATCTTAAAAAACCAAGTTGACAGATGAGGTTTTGTAAGACGTACATCCTGGCTGAAGGAAGGAAGAAGGCTGGCATTAACTGGAGGCGATATATGGAATGCAGGTCCTCTGTTAAAAGGCCCTCTTCAGAGGCCTCTGTGGCACTGGGCTAGGTCTAGGTGCCTTTCAGACTTGGCATTTCCTGGGGTAGTCCATTCCCATGGCACCCCCTACAGGGAGGAGCTGGCAGGACAGGCTGCCAGTGTTGTTTTCTTCCTCTACCGACTCTGACCATGGCCTCTGCTGCCTTCTCTGGAATTCTGCACCAATGCAGCTAAGGAGCATACACAATTCCATGTGTAAAATACTCCTCCCTGGACTAAGCTCTCCACAGACCAGGACCCTGACTTGGCTGGCTCCTGTGGGACACCTTCCAAAATCAAACCCAGACCTACACCATGCCATGTCTTTTATCTTTAAGTCATGGCCTCCTAGCAAATTCTCAAGACACCCACTCCTCAGGCCCTCTCTGCCTGTGTCCCCTCAGACCCTCAGGGGAGCCCAAGGAGACCTGGATCCCAAGAGCAGAGGCTCCCAAGGACCAACCCTCACCCCTCTGCTGGGCATGGGTGGTTCCAGTCCTGAGAAGACCAAACCTCATACATAAGATTAAAAAGTAATCATGAAATCTAACAAAAGCACAAGTTGACTGGGATGGAGTGAAGATCGGTTCTGGCCACAGCCCTGCTTCTGTCAAGCAGGGAGCACACCCAAGTCCACAAGGCCTCCTCCGGCCCTTCGACCCTCCCTTCTCTCCACACACCTCCCTGCCCCTCCCCAACATGCCCAAACCTTCCTTCTTACACTACATGTGCTGAAGAAAACAAGAAACTACAGGGGAAGAAGTAAAGCCATATGTGTTTATATCGATTCGGGTTAAGGAAATGAATCACAAGCTATAAAATTGAGATAAACTGGAAAATTTAAAGGAAAGTATTGTTTCTACTCCCAGCCACCCAGAACAAAAGATCACATTAAAAAATCCATGGTGTGAATTCCCACCATGGGCCAGAAGGGAGGAAGACAGGTTTCCCTGCAACTCTGCTGACTATACCCTGCCCTCCCTGATGTAGCAGAGCTCCCCAGTAGAGAAGCAGATACAAGTGCGTTCCTCAGGGCTGGAACGGGACCTCGTTACTTCCCAGGGGCACCCAGAGCTCAGACCCTGAGACCCAGCCCAAAACCTGCTCTCAGTAGGCTGAATGGAGCCATGATGGGCCCCCATCAAGATACACCTGCAGGGAGCGGGCTCCTCCCTGGAAATCATTTCTTTGGTTGCCTGATGTCAACGCTGGCCTCAGACACCTCGAGGTCCCAATCTTCTTCCCCACTTTCCTTTTTCATTTCTTTATTTTATACCCAAGTGAATGCTTCTTCTATTTCACTGTTTTCAAAACAAAACAAAAACAGAAAAGGGAGGTAGGTAAGCAGGGACGGAGAGGGCAAAGAGAACCTAAAAATGCCAAGAACCCTACCACACGAGGACGGCCTGTGCCACTGCCCAGTGAACCTGAGTCCTCTGGGCCTCGTGCACCCCAACCACACAGGGCCACCCATGGGGCAGGAGCTCTCCCACAACCTTCCTCCTTGCCATGCCTCCCCACCTGGATGTGAAAAGTGGCCAGAGAGCCTGGCAAGGCCAAGCAAACTCCTGGGAAAGGTCACCATCTTGGTAAGAGCCAGCTCACTAGAGTATTTCCTCATCCTTATCCCCAGAGGTAGAATCATTTTACCCAGTATCTGCAACACATGCTTCCAGTTCTCATTATTACAGTAACTCCTGAGAGCACACCCTGCCCCCACACTTCCAGTGTCCACTGCCCCTGCAAAGGGGCCACAAAGTGCAGGCGCAGCTCACTGTGCAGGTGCCACTAACAACCATTGCCCCATGCTCACCCCACCATGGGCATGCTCACAGCCTCCCCACACATACACCAGCACATGGTAGGCATGGCGGCCAGAGGTACATTTATAGCGTGAATGTGAGTGTGGAGCCAGCCCCATGTCCTCGAGCAGGGCTGCCCCTTAGTCCTGGGGTCCTGAGGCTGCTTTGCAGCTAGCCTGGCTCAGTGTTTGATCTCCAGAATGGAAGGGTTGTGGTCCAGGATGGCCAGGATAATCTTGTCCATGTACTGCCTCAGCCGAAAGTTGATCTCCTCCTGCTCCTTTAGGGCTTCCATGAGCTGAAGGAATAGGAAGGATGGTCAGGGGCTGGACCTGGGCTGGGCTTCAGCCCAGACTCCCAGACTTGGGGTGGGCCAGTGCCCGATGACAAGAGGGGCCCTAGTTTAGGTGGCCCCTGATCAACCTCGGCACTCAGAGGCCAGGACAATTGTCTGTGGCAATGTAATTGGTCTGTGGAGCGGCCAGGATGCAGGTGATCTTTCACAAAGGTTAAGAACACTAGCAAAAGGTATGTGTAATGCAGATTCATATTCATTGCTTTTTTTTGGTACTGGAGATCGAACTCAGGTCCTTGCACTTGCATAGCAAGTGTCGAAACCACTGAGCTAAATCCCCAGCCCTGGAAATTCATACTCACAGCCCCAAACCCAAGACTCCTGGGGCTGCCAGCTGTCTGCCTATGAGGGCCCCCTCCCCACCCCAGTCCTGCCCTTCACTCAGGCAGTCCTCAGCATGTCCTTTAGAGTGCCACTGTACTGCTGCTCTGCCCAGGGCAGTGCCAGCTTCCCCAGGGACTCTTTGAAGTCAGATGCCACCCCTGAGCTCTAAGTCCCAGGCAGAAGGAAATGACATGGGGTCTTCAGTGCACCTTAAAGGGTAGGCAGTATTTTGGTATTTGTGACAGAAACAGTGAGCTGTGGCACCAGAGACATGGGTCCCTCTCCCTCTGCAGCTGGGGGAGCCTGTGTCCCTGAGATGGCTAAGTGAAAATATGTGCAAACAAGAAACACTGGTTCCCTTGCCTGCTTGGCAGCACAAGTACCCCTTGATGGGTCTCCAATGAGGAAGGCCCTGGGCTGGCATTTGGGCTCTAGGTAGCCTGGGGGTCATGGTTCCAGAAGGGAGGAATGGGGTAGGACCCATACAATAGGGCCAGGCTCCTTTAAGAGAGCAAGAGGACATGGCTACCTCATCTCGAGAGGCTGTGTCTATTTCTGCAGCCAGAGACTGGGCTTTGGTCTGGGTAGCAAACAGGTTCTTTGCTTCGTAGAGGCTCAGGCTCAGGATCTGTCCATTCAGGTCATCATTCTGATCCCGCAGCTTGTGATTCTCCTGCAAAGACAGGATAAAGACAACATCAGCTTCCAGAAGCAACTGGAGCCCGAAAGAATCCACTTGTCTGCATCCACTGTCTCCTGATGGCCACCAGCACCCTCCCTATATGTGTCACAGCCAGTCCAGGTGGCCTATAGGTGATGTAGCCTTTGCCTGGTGTCAGTGTGGAAGGCCTAGGGCCTGGTGTCCCGAGAATTCCTGGGCTTAGAGGGGGAGTTTTAGCCCTGCTCAGAGGAGCCAGGTCTCAAGCCAGGTGTGTGGCTGGCCATCCCTTCCTCCCTAGGGCTCCTCCTGCAGCCGGGCTCTGGATTCCCTCTCACTGGGAGTTGCTTAAGGTGCCTTTGCTCCTGAGGACAGCTGACCCCAGGGTCACAATGCCAAGCTCCAGCTCCTGCCTAAAGGCACCTAAGGCTCACACCTGAGACCTGGAAGTTCCTCCTGGATGGGCTGGGTTTAGGGACACTGAGGGCACCCTGCCACCAGCACTTCTGCCACAGGTGATGCATACTCAGAGGTGTGACTTGAGTAGCAGCCTCCAGCTGCAGGGTTGGCTGAGCCCTGCTGGGGGCCCTCAGCAGACAGCTCCCAGTCTGCACCACAGCCCTTCCTAACCCACTCCCTGAGCCCGGTCTGGTCTCTGGTGAAGGCAGCCTCCCAGGAACGTGAAACGGGATCTCAGGCCTCGGGGCTGCTTCTGGGAGAACCAAGCCAGTTAGGCACTCATCTGGAGCTGATGTTGGCTCATCCTCACCCCAAGAACCAAGGACAGGACAGGAATGTGTCTTTTTTTTATGGACACAAAAGAAAGATCCTGAGACCCATCAGACACAGCCAGAGCTGTTGCTTGACCTGAGGGAAACAGGCTGGCTGGCCCGACAGTCTGTACAAGGAGCAGCGAGCAGTGAGTGAGTGTCGGTGAGGAGGTCCTGCACCGGAAGCCCACAGTCTTGCTGGATATTGGCTCCCAGGCCCACCTGCTTCAGCCGCTTGACCTCATGCTCGAGCTCCACCTCTCGAGCTCTGGCGTTAAACTCGCCCAGGCCGGATGAGGAGCTGCGGCCCCTGCCTGTCCGCTCACAGTCCAGCTTGTACATCTGCAGGTGCTCCAGCTCCTTCCGCAGGTCCTCAATGAGCTGCAGGGGAGAGAGGCCGGTTAGTGGGAGCAAGAACACTGTGGGGAGTCCCAGGACCCTCGGTCTTGGGACCCACCTCCTGCGTTGCTTCTCGCTCCTTCTGGAACTCGAGGCGATTCTGGCGTAGCTTGTCCATCATGCGCTTGTACAGGTCCATCTCATCCTTGAGCCGCAGGCTGGTGTCCTCCAGCCGGTCAGACATGCGCTGCCGCTCCTGCAGCCAGGGAGACCGGTCAGGGGAGGAGAGATTCCAGAGAGGGGCATATGATGCCCAGGTGCTTCCCTGGGGATCTACCAGACACCTCGGTGTGGCAGGTGACAGCACCCTCTGAGTCATGGCTTGCAGAAACAGCCAGGGGCCCTCCAATTCTAGAGCACAGCGAGGAGCATCGCAGGCCTCTGAGGTCATTCAGTGGCGCAGGGGCGCCTGAGCAGAAGCTGTTACCCCAAACGAAGGCTAACCACTCTCCTCCAGGACTATAACCCTGCTGTACAAGGAATATAAGGCACACATACATTCACTGCAGAGAACTCACCAAATCAGAAATACAGAAACACAAATCACTGTTTACATTTTTTGGGCAATTTTTATGGGATGGCGGTTTTTTTAGAATTGAAGAAACTATAAATTAAAGTCCCCTTCCTCATGGTCAACATCGCTTCTCTGTGGATTTGCTCCTCGCTCAGACCTATTGCTCACCTCGTCCAGTTTTTCCGTCTGAGACTTGAGTCGTGACACAGTTGTTCTAAGCTCGGTGTTTTCTTCCTCCAACTGCTGCACCCTGGGGAAAGGAGAAGGACATAATCTCAGGAATGGAGAATGGAAATAATCTCACAAGAGAGTGACAATCTGCAGCTCTTCACTGATTCCTGGAAAAGAGAAAATACAAAAAAACAAAGAGAAAGAGAGACAAGCTGGGCATGGTGGCTGAGGCAGGAAGATCACCTTGAGTTTGAGGACAGCCTGGGCTACATAGTTAAGTTCAAGGCCAGCCTGGACTGCATAGCGAGAGCCTGCCTCAAAAAAACAAAAACAGGGCCAGGGATTTAGCTCAGTGGCACCATGCCTGCCTTGCAAGCACAAGGTCCTGAGTTTGATCCCTGGTACCAAAAAAA